GTCCTCAGGATTGGTTTGCAGCCATAGACCTGAAGGACGTGTATTTTCATGTCTCCATTCTTCCACGCCACCGTCAGTTTCTGCGGTTTGCGTTCGAAGGTCGAGCATGGCAGTACAAGGTCCTCCCCTTCGGGCTCTCTCTGTCTCCGTGGGTCTTCACCAAACTCGCGGAGGGTGCCCTAGCGCCTCTGCGGCTTGCGGGCATCCGCGTACTCAATTATCTCGACGACTGGCTGATTTTAGCCCACTCTCGGGAGCAATTGACTGCACACAGAGACGAGGTGCTCTGGCATCACCGCCTATTGGGGTTGCAGGTCAACTGGGAAAAGAGCAAACTCGCCCCGGTGCAGAGGATCTCTTTTCTCGGGATGGAGCTGGACTCGGTCACCCTGGTAGCGCGCCTCTCCGGAGAGCGCGCTCGCCTGCTGCTGCTGCTGTCTGAGGGAGCTCGACAGCAAGTTAGTGGTCCCACTGAAATATTTTCAGTGGCTCCTGGGGCATATGGCTTCCGCTGCGGCTGTCACGCCGCTCGGATTGCTCCATATGAGACCACTTCAGCACTGGCTTCAAGATCGAGTTCCGAGACGCGCATGGCATGCGGGCTGTTAGAAATTTATTACTTATTAATTGTAGCTCTTTCATTTCTTTCTATGAATGTAGCTGTGTTATGCCAATGTATGTTATATAGTTGTGTCATGTTTATGTATGTAATTTAGCTGTGTCATGTTCATGTATGTACGTCAAGAGGGGCCAGGGTCTGTGGTGCCAAGGCCAGATAATACAGAACGTAAAGGACCACACCCGGCCAATTCCTAGAACACCAGTTGTTTACACATGTATATAAAAGTGGTTGGAAGGAAAGAGTTGTTGTTGAAGATGGCCTGAACATACGTGAGGGACACCTCCAACCCGGAGCTCTGTATCTATTGAATTATTCAATTGTATTCATTAAATGGCTAATACTTTTGCATTGAAGAAAACCTCTCCTGACTCTCATTGAACACGCAGGGAAATGGTTAATGACATCAAAAAACTCCAACAATTGGTGACCTCCGACGTGGAGTGGGAGAGAACATTGATCTGTCGTGTTGCATTGACATCAAGGCATGCCAAAGCATAAGGTAAGCAGAAAACCTGTTTTTATTCGAATTTCTGCTATTGGCTACAACTAAATTGATTGATGTCATGTGATATGTAGGATTGATGTAGTTAAAATATCCAACATTTGAATAATTCGATGATTTTTAAATGTATAAATGTATTAAGTGTTGAGCAGAATTATTGTTGTCAGACTGTTGAAAGAGGAAGACTTTGTGTAGAGAGGAAGACTTTAGCTGCGTCCCAAATCGCATACTTATGCACTATTTTACGCCATTTCGTAGTATAAATAGTGTAAGTAGTGTGTTCACATTGAAAACTCTCAAAATAATCAGTGCACTTTAATTACCCGGATGATGCACTCATTCAGCCGCTAAAATGAAGTGTGTAATGATGGACACTTCACGCACTCAACGACCGCAGGTTTGCTTACGTAGCGGAAGAGGCGGAGCTATCGGACGCACATGTTGAATAACTTTATTTATTTTGGATGGTGAAAGCAAAATTCTCCTATGAGAGTGATTATAGCGCCTCCCGATGGTAAATGCGGCAATACTCACGGCAGGTATTACTTGATAATTCAGTCGTTTATTTCACTGATTTGGCAACAGTCAAACGTCATCAGGGAAACGGTTTGAATTTCCGCTTAGTAAAAAAACATTAGTGTGCCATTTGGGACAACACTACATACATATACTATCCTGTTGAGTGTGTAAGTGCATAAGTACATAGTGCATGAGTGCATAGTGTATAGTGTGCCATTTGGGACGCAGCTTTTGTGTAAGAGGAAGACTTTGTGTAGAGCAGACAGTAACTACGGCATGGAAAAGAACATATAGTAGGCCCGCCATGAAATTCACTAAGTTAAGAGGGATGAAACATGATGGAATAATATTTAAGTAAATAGTTATATGAGCGGAAACTTGTGTTGACTGTGCCCCGGTAAAAGTGACGACTGGCCGGTTAATATTGGACTATAAAAAGGAGTGGAATCCCGAAAAACCAGGAAGAGGTGGTTTTCGAACTTTTCTGGGGGCAGATCCCGACATTTTAGTAGGTCCAAGTGTCGAAGATAGGATTAGGGAAAGATTGTAAAAAAAGTAGGGGAAAGTTAGTTCGCTGATGAGATTGTGACTGTGTATGAAAATACATGGAATAAGTCAATTGCGTGAAGGCGAATGTAAATAGAGGAACGAGAACTGAGAAGTCTGGAGGGCGCGCATTTTTATTTTGTGTGAATGCTGAATGTTTGGTCGATCATTTTTGTAAGTAACAGCTTAAATAAGTAATCATATGCATATTTAGTAGGTTATAAAATCACATTTTTATATTGGATTAAATGCCATTTAAAACTGAGATTTCAGTATTTTTGAAAGCCTAATAAGACTAAAATGGTGGGTGAATTTGATCAAGATTGTGCGGAGTATGAAAAAAAAAGAGAAAGAAACAAATTTATAATTACAGTGGGGCAAAGTGAATCAATTATTGACTAAAAAAAAAAAAAACATAAAAATAAAAAATAAAATAAAAAAGTCTGCCTAAGGTGGGGGTAAGAATCTTTCTATTTACAGAATAGAGTCTGTGCAATGGCAAACAGAGGCAGAATAGCATAAAAGAGAATATCAAACTATTAGATCAGATAATAATAATAATAATAATAATGGGTACAATATAGGTTATTAAATAAATAAATAAATATTGTAAAGCATTGTAATAAGATAAGTGAAATAAAGAAATGCCAAAAGTGAGAGTAAGATATACTCAATCTAGTAATATTAGTTGAAATGGAATGTGAAGCCATATAAATGAAGATACTAATAAAGAAATAAATTAACCAAATAAATAAATATGATTAAACAATAGATAAGTTAGTACATTGATTAAAATATACATGTATAATAGAAAATGATATAGAAAAAATTACATTACAATGTAAAGACCAGTTAGTAAATAACTTTTAGAATAGATGAAAAGAAATGGGGAAAGAATGAAGAAAATAACTTGGAGCTAAAGAAAAATAAGCCATTAAACAGCAAAGAGTTTAAATAGATAAATAACTTATTAGTGTATGTATAAATTATTGCAAGTAAACTTGGAAGAGAGAATTTGACAAAGTGTTTGAGGAGGATGAGACTTTGTTTTGAACAAAATTAAAAGTGCAGTGAGATAATGTAATTAATCAATTAATGAGTGGGACAGAGATAAATAAAAAGCATGAACTAAAAAGAAATTAGAGAAAGTCAGTATAATGTAAAATGTGCAAATGGCTGGGAAGGTGATCCAAGAGTGAAATTGGCTAAAGTTCTGAGAAATAAAGTCCAGTCTCATAAACAACTTAAAGAACATATGCAAAATAACTTCAGGGCTATTGGGGTGCCAGAAAAAATATATAAATAAATTAATAAATTAATTAAAATAATTTGAAATAAATAAATAAATAAAACTGAAGAAAGAATGACTAAAAACTTCTCATTGTGCCACAATCTTGCTTTAGCAGATGAGGGTCACGCCCAAGAAAAGAGCAGAAAAAGAGAAGTGAGCACTTAGACAGTCAGAGCAAGAGTGAGAAGAAAAAGAAAGGCACTGAAGGCAGTGTGGGGGGTGTGTACCCTATGATAAAAGCCACTCCTTCTGCTCCTATACAAGACTATAGGGTGACAGACAGTCAGAAACAGTGGATGAATCAGAAGTTGGGTTCAGCACAAGAATCAATGCAGAAAGTAAGGGAAGCATTAACACAAGAATTAGTAAGTGATAATACAAGATCTAATGTGAAGAAACTAAGGCTTAAAGTAGAAGACATTGATGGAGTAACAGAGGAAGACAAACAGGAAGAGGGGTCACTGAACGACACTAGAATTTCCCTATATGCTCTAATAGTGAAAAATAGTAGAGACAAATACCAGCCATGGTGCTTCACTGATATGCATGCTATTATGGAAATAATTACCACATGATACCAAAGGGGGAGACAATTGGCTTGCTAGAGTAATCTCGCTAACCCAAGGCCACAGATTAGGCTTTTTCAAGGTATACCACGGTTTGGAAAAGTCAAGGTTTTAAACACCGCCAAAAATTTTGGTAATATCGTTTCTCAGGTACGAGTAAGATCTTTTTATTTACATTTTTTTTTCATTTTTAGTACCTCCTGCAGAAAATATATCCAAAGATACTGTTTTAAATTTAAAATAAATTAGTGTTTTTGAAACTAATGAAGACAGCAAAGTCAATGATGCATTTAAATTACATAGCCTGACATGTTTACTGCTCCAAAATAGCATAAATCTTTTGTTTTTTTACCCAGACAAGGGGAATATATTTTGGGGCAGTGAGCACAATACTGTGAAACTGTGATATTTTTGTCCAAGGTTATCATACCGTCAGAATCTCATACTGGCCCATGCCCAGGCCCGGATTGGCTAATCGGGAGGACCGGGAGAATTCCCGGTGGGCCGGTCCGTTTTTTGGCCGCGAGGGCCGGTGTCCCTAGTTCCAGAATCTGTTGCTCTCAGCAGTCACACTTTTTAAAAATAATTTATTTATTTACTTGACCACAGCCTTCTTATTCATTATTTTACCGCAGCTCTGCTCTTTTTTTTATCTATTTCCTCGTAGCCTCGTGAGCAGGATGCAGCCTGCAGGTTAATGATCATATAACTAGATAAGTCACCGTTCACCGTACAGCTGTTGTGGTACAGTGGTTAGTACGATTAGATAATAACGCGGCCAACCTGGGTTCGGTCCTTGTCTGAGTAACAATTTTTTTTTTTTTCATTTTTATTGTTAAGACATAATACTGTAAGGGTTGTTGAACATTTGAAGTTCTAAAAGAGCTGTTTTCTCAAAAAAAGACGTGATAGTGTAATTAGAAACTGAATTGGAAATAACCTTATTTTAATATAGTCAGTGGTGAACTGAGGTGGGCCGGTATGAGGCTTGAAACTCCAGGGCTGAAAAAGAGTCCCACTCCGGCCCTGCCCATGCCTACCACAGATTGGCAGTGAGGGACTTAAGATATATATTGGGGCAAATAATTTCTAATGGGGAACTGAGACAAATTGAACAGCAAGCTGACACTAATAGATTTTCATCAAGCACTCCTTTTGGCAAACGTACCAACTGCTTGAGGAGCAGTGATTAGAAGAAAGTTTTCAGCACCAGCTGAGGCCATACGTAATATAAAATTTACCCCTAAGGCAAATGAAATACCGGCAGCTTATGTGATGTAGTGCAAACAGGAGTGGGAAGCCCAAACTGGGACACATCCTCTTGCTAACCCCATACATAAAGGGGTGTTTAGAGCAGTCATGGCTGAGAGTACGGAAAGCTGCGTCAAAGCAGCTCTTAAAGAAAAGCCAGATATACCAGGAAGTGCTCCTGCCACCTGGGAGAGACATTTGACACATCGTATGAACAGGGCTAAAGACAAAGCTGACGAGAGTCTGAAATCAAGGAAGAAAAAACTATTATTAAAATTATGAACAAAGCTAGATAGGATGTCAATGGTCAGAACTAAAAAAAGTCAACAATTGGTTCTGTCACTTAAGCCTGAACAACCCTACATGGCACCCGTGTACAACCCAATACCTTAATGCCAACATTAATTTAGAGGACAGAGTAGGGGAGACATGAGAGTTCAATGGGGTCCCAGGGCTGACAGGGGGCGGGAGCGTTGAGAGGGTTACTTCTTGTGTGGGTTACCCAACCATCAAGCATGTGACTGTCAAAGATGCTACACGTGCAATCAAGGGGAACACATTTCAACTAACTGTCCCCAAAGCCAGAACCAACAAGCCCACAGAGGGGGTATGCAAGGAGGCCGAGGCTTCATGGCATCACACACAGAGACAGAAGCAGGGCTAGGGAGGAGCCACTGCTATCGATGGATTTTAACGAACACCATCTGAACTTTTTGGTTGACACTCGGGCCACATACTCAATGTTGGTCACCAAAGTCGACCAGGACTTAATTTCACAAAAAAAAAAAAAAAAAAAAAAAAACTGTGGAGGTGATGGTTTTCTCTGAGAAATGTGAATGTGAAAGACTGCCTTTAACTGAGTCTATATCAGTGTCTGTGGCTGGACAACAACTGAAACACAGATTTCTGTTATCAGACAGAGCCCTATGGACTTATCGGGCAGAGACTTGTGGATAAAAGTGGGTGCATCAATTCTGTGCTGTGCTGATGGTGTCATTGTAAGATTTCCCACAGGCCTCACCAAGAACTGTTCATTAAACACACCTGGCATGGAAGGACAGTGGCTACTGTCATCTGCATAAGAACCTGAGGAAGCTGACAAATACTGGAGCAAACTGTAACCAGATACCCCACAAGGAGAGGGCCAGCTCTCGCTCTATGCCTTATGGAAATCTTGGGTAACCCTTATTGCACCATACATGCCTTTCAGCGACCTAACACACATGACTTTATTCTATGACAGAAACCAAACTGGAAGACTATGATTGGCAAATTGGGTGAAAGGGAATTTGGGTTAAAAAAAAAAAAAAAGGAGTAGTAGGGGCAATTTACTTGGCTAAAGAACATAGATAGTAGTATATGATGGGTCCAGAAGCAGAACCACATGTCAAATTGACCATACATCCAGAGCACCAAGCTAAGGATTTAGGGCCAATGATAAAAGGATTGTCTAAATTGACAGATTAGGTTGCCACCAAATTACCAAACGTATTTTTTCCACCATCAGATAAAACATATCTAATTGATACGTCTACAGTAGATAGCATGATCATGAAACACGTATTGGTCACGAGGTGGCATGGAAAGGGACAGAACAGATCATGAGCTGACAGTACCAATGTTAAACCGTTTACCAAGCCAATTATGGTCCACGGGACCAACAGATGTGGATTTTTGTTCCTTGGCGTCAGACAATTGAATTGACTGAAAATAGGCTGATTGGACAGCCACACTATTCTTACAAGCCACAAGGTGAGACAGTCATTGCAGACACAATAGAAGAATTGATAACAGTAGGTGTGTTAGAGCCATCAAACTCACGACAGAATTTTACTCCAAATTTATCTGTAGAAAAACAAAATACAGGAAACTACAGGATGGCTCATGGAAAAAAAGGTTAACACTATAGTGCAGACAGCCACATTGCCAATGCCGAAATCCATACACTGCACTATAAGCATTGAGTCCAGAACATGAGTGGTTCACCTGTATAGATTTAGCTAATTCATTTTTCTGTTTACCACTGGCACCAAAATTGAGGGACATATTTTCATTTACCTTTAGGGGGCAGCAATACAGGTACACAAGGGTACCTCTAAGTTTCATATTGTCTCCAGGGTAGTTCAATCACACCCTGAGAGCTCTACTGAGCGATTGACCTTTGCCAGAGAGAGTGGTGTTGATCCAATATTTGGATGACAATTTACTAGCTGCAAAAACAGATGATACCAGTTTGAATGTGACTAAGCAGGAGTAATTATAAATATTTCAAAGTAAGTAAATCAAAATTACAATTGTGTAGGCCACAGGTCACATTGATGGGACGAGTAGTGTCTGGACTGAGCATGGGAATATCGCCAAACCACCGATCAGTTATTTTGAAGAACAAAAAATGATGACTATAAAAGATATGCTGTCATTTTTGGGCCTGGCTGGGTTCAGTAGACACCTCATACCACAATTCATTGATAGAACAACACCATTAAGACAACTAGTGTAGGAAAAGGGAGCTGGACAGTTGAATGCTACACTAGATTGGACAACAGAAACAGAGAAGCAGTTCAGCAGCCAGTGCAGTTGATTTGGCTAATCTTGATTATAGGCTTCCTTTCTATTAAGATGTGTCAGAAACAGAAAAGACAGTGGAAAAGTATTGTTTCAGTAAAAAAAGGGAAAAGATGGTTTTGATGCATCTTAGCTTTTTAATGCACAAGGCAGAACAATGCCAGCTTCCATCTACAAGATTTGCAGCAAAGTTAGAAAAGATAATTCAGAAAACAGCACATCTGATCATGGGACATGAAGTCAAAATATAGACATCACACTCAGAGATGGCATACGTAAATTCTTTTGCAGTAACAATGTAATCGCTAAGACAGAATAGATTGTTAAAAAGGTTGAGTGCACCAACAAACCTAATTTTCACACATGAAGGCATCAACATGGCTGACTATATGGTTGAGAGAGAGAGACACACAATTGCGAAGAGTTAATCTTGGGGGATAGTAAGCTGAGACCAGATTTAAGAGCAGTAGCATTGACAGGTGAGGTAGAAACTTGCAAACGGATGAGTATTGTTATAGGGATTCTGAAGTAGAATTGAAAGTAGTCTATGCAGTCGATAAGAAGACAGAGAAATACTTTGAGGTGGTAATAGCTGAGAAAATGGAGTCAGGACAGTTAGCACACATCTGAAATCAGTGGAGCAAGCATTAGGCCTAAAACATTTATTTGGGACTGTGTACCACCCACAATCTCAGGGAAAAGTTGAGAGACTTATTTAAAATTTGAAAACAAAAACCTGCGAAGACCAAATTAAATTAGGTAGGCCTTAGAATTGAATGTATGGATATTAAATCATCACTGAATAGAACAATGGGTTTTACTCCTTTTGCATTGTTGACAGGTCATCAGTATCCAGAACCAGGAGCAGCCTTGACGTGCACTGACAGTGCACCGCTGATGAACAAGCCATATTATGACAAATTAACAGCTTTACTCTCAGATTTTTCTGAACAGATTTTTGTGAAATGCCTGGAGGGGGCCTAAGAAAAAGTGGTCCCTACATCTGAATAGGTGTTGCTGAAGGTATTCAAGTGAAAGTGGGAGGAGCCAAGGTGGTTTGGTCTATAAAGAGTGACAGAGAACATCACACAGACTGAGGTTACAGGTTAAAGGTGATACATGATAGTAATGGAGTGTTTATGTTTTAAACAGATTCACCAAACTGGCAGCTGAGGAGTACAAATGGCGGCCATGAGTAAAATCAAGGCCGAGAGGGGGAGTGCGTAGCAAAGAACAACATAAACAAATGATTGACCCGCTGCCCTCATGCCAAGAGGGGACGTCTGACTAAATAGGGAGTGCAAGCATGTATTAGGGTAGGAGCTAAACACGCAGTAACCTCAATACATGGGAGCAACCTGATAGTAGTGCAGGCCTACGGATGACAACGAGGAAGTGTGCTATCACAAAAGAGGGACAAAGAACAGTGTTCTGTTTGATCACTAAAGAAATAGTCACTGATTTACCAACAGATGACAATTTGACCAGAACGTTTGAGGTTTTGATTTTCATGTTAATCAATGTCTTGATTCTAACCATAATGCTACAGTTTTTAATTTCATTGTTAAAAGTTTGGACCTTAGATCTCAATGATATAATGGTACTTTTGAATTTTTCATTGGAGCATATTTTTTACGGGTTTGGATTCCCTTTTTGATTGTAATCAAATTTCTAAAGTTTGAAAATTTTAATTTGAATTATATTGATAACTAATAATAACTGAATAATATAAATAAATAATCATACCTCTTATGATAAAGTGCAGAAGGTAGGAAAATGAAATTGTGAAATAATTGGAAGTTAATGGAAGTGTTTGGCAAAACAAGCCTGAATATAGTGGGCATAATTTTTATGATAAGAAATGATTAGAATGAAGCCATGGAGTAGAGAGACTCCACCACTCAAGAAGAGAACTAGGGGTGAACAGATTGTTGAGTGAATCCAACAGATAGGGAATTGAGTTAAAAGGGTTTATGGGCATTTTCTAATATAATGAAAGAGTACAATGTAAACAACAAGGTGTAAGCAACCATTTTGGAAAAATGGGTAAAGGATTGTATTCGGCAAATATTTGTAATAATGTTAATTGATTTTTATTTTTTTTCTTTACGTTTAGATTTTGGTTATCTGTGGTTGTGAGCTCCTTTAGAGGAGCTCAAAAGAGGGATTTTGTAATTTTGGAAATTTATTACTTATTAATTGTAGCTCTTTCATTTCTTTCTATGAATGTAGCTGTGTTATGCCAATGTATGTTATATAGTTGTGTCATGTTTATGTATGTAATTTAGCTGTGTCATGTTCATGTATGTACGTCAAGAGGGGCCAGGGTCTGTGGTGCCAAGGCCAGATAATACAGAACGTAAAGGACCACACCCAGCCAATTCCTAGAACACCAGTTGTTTACACATGTATATAAAAGTGGTTGGAAGGAAAGAGTTGTTGTTGAAGATGGCCTGAACATACGTGAGGGACACCTCCAACCCGGAGCTCTGTATCTATTGAATTATTCAATTGTATTCATTAAATGGCTAATACTTTTGCATTGAAGAAAACCTCTCCTGACTCTCATTGAACACGCAGGGAAATGGTTAATGACATCAAAAAACTCCAACAGGGCACACACCGAGTCTCTGTTACTGCGCTGTGTCGCCGCACCCTCAGCCGTTGGAACGACCCCTCGTTCCTGCAGGCCGGTGTGCCTCTGGGACAGGCGTCCAGTCATGTTGTTGTTTCGACAGATGCTTCCAGCACAATTTGGGGAGCCGTGTGTCGCGGGCATGCAGCTGCGGGCCTGTGGGTAGGTGCCCAGCTGCATTAGCACATCAATCGCCTAGAGCTGTTGGCAGTGTTCCTTGCTCTCCGGCGTTTTTCTCCGGCGCTGGGGCAGCAACACGTGCTGGTCAGGACGGACAGTACGGCGGCGGCAGCGTATTTCAACCGCATGGGGGGTATGCGCTCTCGCCGCATGTCTCAGCTCGCCCGCCGTCTGCTCCTCTGGAGTCACCCGCGGCTGAAGTCGCTGCGCGCCATTCACATCCCAGGTATGCTCAACCGTGCAGCCGATGTGCTCTCACGGCAGCAGATTCACTCTGGAGAATGGAGACTCCACCCCGAGTCTGTTCAGCTGATATGGGCGCGATTCGGGGAGGCCCAGATCGATCTGTTTGCTTCCCCCGAGAACGCTCATTGCCAGTTGTTTTATTCCCTGACCGAGGGCTCTCTCGGCACGGATGCACTGGCCCACAGCTGGCCTCGGGGCGTACGCAAGTATGCGTTTCCCCCAGTGAGCCTGATCGCGCAGTTAATGTGCAAGGTCAGGGAGGACGAGGAGCAGGTTTTGTTAGTTGCGCCCCTCTGGCCCAACCGAACCTGGATATCAGAGCTCTCCCTCCTCGCGACGGCCCTCCCTTGGCAGATCCCTTTGAGAGAGCCCCCTCCACGAGGCGCGCCTACGCCCTGAAGTGGAGTCTATTCACTGAGTGGTGTGTCTCTCGCAGAGAAGACCCCCGATCTTGCCAGATCAGTGTTGTGCTCTCTTTCCTTCAAGAGAAGCTGGACAGCAGGCTGTCGCCCTCCACTCTCAAGGTTTACGTTGCTGCCATCTCCGCTCACCATGACGTGGTGGCTGGCGGCACCATGGGAAAGCATAACCTCATCATCCGGTTCCTCAGAGGCGCTAGGCGAATTAATCCAACTCGCCCCCCTCTCACGCCCTCTTGGGATCTTGCCCTCGTTCTCACGAGCCTGCGATTTGATCCCTTCGAGCCACTCGATACAGTATCTTTAAGATTTCTGTCCCTGAAGACAGCTCTGCTGGTCGCGTTGGCCTCCATTAAGAGGGTCGGGGACCTGGAGGCATTTTCGGTCAGTGACTCGTGCCTGGAATTCGGGCCGGGATTTTCTCACGTTATTCTGAGACCCCGCCCGGGTTATGTGCCCAAAGTTCCTACCACTCCTTTTAGAGATCAGGTAGTAACCCTTCAAGCGCTGCCCCCGGAGGAGGCAGACCCAGCCCTGTCCTTACTTTGTCCAGTTCGCGCTCTGCGCATTAATGTGGACCGTACTCAGAACTTTAGATCTTCTGAGCAGCTCTTTGTCTGTTATGGCGGACGGCAGCAGGGAAGTGCCGTGTCTAAACAACGTTTATCCCACTGGATTGTGGAGGCCATTTCATGTGCTTATTTGAGCAGAGGCCAGCCGCGCCCCCCAGGGGTGCATGCGCACTCCACTCGGAGCGTTGCATCCTCTTGGGCGTGTGCGCGTGGCGCTTCTTTAACAGACATTTGTAGAGCTGCGGGCTGGGCGACACCCAACACATTTGCAAGATTTATAATCTGCGAGTGGAGCCGGTTTCCTCAAGGGTGTTAGGTAACTTTGGTGATTGAGGAAACAACTCGGTAGGTGTTGTACACGCTTGCGGTGCCTTTTTTCCCTAACACGGAGAGATGTGCACCCTCCTGTCTGTCAGTAAAGTTCCCCATTTGGTGAGCCCTGCAGATTCCTCCGAGGCCCCCAGCACTGACTCAGCGGAGGAATCACTTGCTGGCCCATTACGTAGTAGGTCTGCCCGCTGGTCAGCCCGCGTTTTGGGTATAGGTGCCTGCTGTGGCCGATCCCCGCTGGTGATCCCCATATGCTTTTTCCGCCACGGTTAAGTTCCCCCCCTGGGCGGACCCGTGCTTTCCCTATCTGCTAACCACCTTTTATGTGCACTCCCCCTTTCAGGGTTAGTCCATATGTATTCCATTTGTTCCCCCTATTGGGTGCGGATGGTCTCCGCAGCGTCCTCCCTACTGGGATGGCACGCTTCCCAACGTACTGTCGTATATTCCTAGAATTATCTAGACGCTAGCGACTCCCGAAAAAGATACCTATTCCGTAAAACTTCTTTTTGAAGTGGGATAAGTTAGGGCCAAGGGCACATTGGAGGACCACGCCTCTCATGATCTGGGTGCGTCACGCTTGCCTGACCGCTCTCTCATGGTGGGTGTTGGTAAGGTGCAGTCATTATGGCGCTTTCAATGGGCTCCCAATGCGTGGATTTTAACAATCAAATCCACTTATAGTGCTGGAGTTCCCCCCGAAGGGGAACGTTCGAGGTTACTAAAGTAACCCTTCGTTCCCCGAGGAGGGGAACGGAAGCACTATACTCCGTCGCCATAATGACTGTCCCTTAGCTGTTAAAAGTCTCTTCAGCTTAAAAAGGATAGCGTCTGCTGGCGCCAGGTGAGCTTATATACTCAGTTGATTGCTTATGCCGCTCACCTGCGCAGGCTTGCGCTGCCAATTCATTCTTAATTGGCCCGTTCAATACTCTTTCAGACGAGTAGCTTCTGAAACGAACCTCCCAATGCGTGGATTTTAACAATCAAATCCACTTATAGTGCTTCCGTTCCCCTCCTCGGGGAACGAAGGGTTACTTTAGTAACCTCGAACGTTACCTGCAAGCTCATCCAACTTATTCCCTAAGGACCGAACATTTCCCATGATCACAGAGGGGAGCAGGGTGCGAGTCACCTGTTGTATCCTTAAGCGTTGCCTAACGCCCCCTCGCTTACCTCGCTTCCTCATCTTGGCCTTCGGCTTTGTTTCCCGCGTTCCATCGGACACTTTCCGTACCACATTTGGTAAATAAATGTCTGAAATTGTCTCTACCCTTAAAGGGTTTAATTGCAACAGCGTGCTCCTGGTATACTGTATCCTTCCATGATTAACAACTCCGTGAGCATATTCACCAGCAAGCAGAAGATAAACCGGTACCCATAACAACGTGAGAAATAAAATCTCCATTGTAGATAGATTGCACACGAATATATTAAAATACTATCCCATAAACAATTAAAAAGAGAAGAGCGGACACATAGTCTAAATTGTTAAAAACAAAGTGTTAAAAAACAAAACACAAGCACTAGTCCCATGCCAAACTCTCACTGCTGGTCGCTGTGTGCGCATGCGCCCTTCCGTTGTATGTAAAGCTCCACATTAGTATCTTAAAACCAAAACCTAAAGTGCACATATGCCCGCCTCGGATATGTCACTTTCTAAATCTGCCGCATCTCCCGAGCACTCATCACGGGCCTGCCCGGCCGCGTGTGGCGCGCTTATTGCTGCAAAGGACCCACACCCCTTCTGTGTTGTCTGCTTGGGCCTCAAGCACGCTCAAGAGGCGTTGGAAACCCCGGAGAATTGCAGCCATTGTCTTAAATTACCGAAAAAGCTTCTGCGGGGTCGTATGAAAGTTGTAGCGACTCAATGTGTTGAATTTTCCGATTCGGATGGGGGACATGGTGACGACAGCGCGCAGCCAGGGGACTCCCGGGGCGCTATGTCTCTCGACTGGGCTGACCAGCCCAATCCTGCGTTCCCCAAAGAGGACATCTTCGCGGGTGTTCCGCCATTCGCTGATGAACCGGCCGGTTCTGGCGACGATGACGACGCGGGTCTTCTGGGTGTTTCAGAGGACGAGGAGGCCATCCCGCCCTCTGGCGCTCCCCAGATTCACACTCCCGCGACCGTACCCCAGTCCATCCTCCTAGATGTGTGTGAGCGAGCGGCCGCTCGCCTCAACATCGAATGGCCAGCTCCACAGAGTGCCACCGACCAGGAGAGGGACATTTATGATGGAAAGTTGCTGGGGCTTCCACCAGGCCCGAGGAAACAACTTTTTCCCGTCCTCCCAGCGTGTGCGAAGCACATGAAGCACTACTGGGGCGACCCGCTCAACCTTAAACAAGGTCTCGCGGGTCTGGAGGTAAAGGATATGGCATCGATCGGCATGGGTGACCCACCCGTTATCGAGCCATCAATCGCTCGACACCTCAGCCCCATTCAGGGCGGGCTACTCGCCCCCCCGAAACCGGTCCTGCCAAACAAAATGGACCGCTTTTCTGCCTCTGTTCACCAGGCTGCCTATAGGTCCTCAGCCGTAACTGTGAGGGCTCTTAATGTCTCCTCGCTCCTCTCCGCTTACCAGGCGGAGCTGTTGGATGACTTGGGACAGCAACTGGACAAGGGAACCCCTTCCCCATCACTGTGGAAGGAGATTCTCACAGTTAACGACCTCGTTCTCCGTAACGCACGTCAGACCGTCTAAGCCTGCGGGCGTTCCATGGCGCTTTCGGTGGTAGGAGAGCGGGCGCTCTGGTTGAATCTGTCGGGCCTCCCTGACAGTGAAAAGAGGCGGATTGCGGGCGCCCCGGTTGAGCCCGGACAGGCTCTCTTTGGCCCCGCTGTTGCATTAATGCAACAACGCTGCGACGACAAAAAGGAGGATGAAGCCTTCAAATTATGTCTTCCTAGGAAAGCGGCTCCACGCCAGGTGCCCCCAGCGCGCGCCCCTATTTCCCCTGCCACAGTGCGGAATTTCCATCAGGGCAAGGATAAACCTCGCACCAGACCCCCTCCGCGACAGGGCAACCATCCTTCCGCAAAACCTTGGGGAAGAACAACGCCCGCTGCCGCGGGAAAACCCCCTGCCCAAACCCCCTCGGATCCGAAACGCAAGCGGCCGGCCTGATGTTCAGCCAATGGGGGCGCCGAGTCTGTGTTCACG